CTGCCTTGTGGTAGAAAGATGGTCATTTCTTCCTGCAAAGATTTACAGCCTCAGAAACTGATCAACTGTCACTATGAGTCTCAAAGGCAGTGGGCTTAAACATGAAATCCAGCGTGACTTGATTAACATAACAAAAGAAAGCTGTGTTTCCAAAGGGAGCCCTCATCACAGGTATGGGGGTCACAAGTCGGTGTGTGACAGAAGATACTGCACACCTGTGGATCTGAGGAGATGACTGTTGGCAGTCTGTTTGGGAGAAGAGATGAGAGGCTGGATATACCAGAGGGGCAGGATTAGAGTTTATTACAGCAGGGTGAAAAGTAATGAGGATATTTGGTTCCAGGCTAGAGAATTACAGAGGCAGCCTTGGCCAGTGCCAGCTTGTGGCGCAGGGAGACAATTTATATTACTGCCCCTGGTCACTTTATTGTCCCACATACCCTGGTGATCGGCACTGTCAAGAGCATCAAAAGATCAACTGAATTAGACTTGTCTTTAAAAAAACCAACACTGTTTCAGTAAAGAAAATGAGGAGTTCAGTGGAAATAATTTATCAATATTTGATATTTGCCTGAGGGGCTCTGGTGCTACAGTGCTTCACATGTTGTACTGTTTACTGTAAGGTTAATGGTTCAAAACCACCAGCTGACCCAAGGGAGAAACGTGGACATTGTCCCCCTATAAGAGATTTGCAGCCCTGGAATCCCAACAGAGGGTCCATGAGTTGGTATCCACTTGATGGTAGAACAGAGCAAGGGAACACGGCATGGTTCAAAATTGGGAAGGGCGTACGCCAGGGATGCATCCTATCTCCATACCTTTTCAACCTATATGCAGAACAGATTATCCGGGAGGCTGGGCTCTATGAGGAGAAAGGTGGGGTCAAGCTTGGTGGATGATTTATCAACAACCTGCGTTATGCGGATGACACAACCGTGCTTGCTGAAACTGAAGAGGACCTGAAGCGCCTGCTGCAGAGTGTCAAGGACTGCAGCCTACAATATGGATTGAGGCTCAATGTCAAGAAGACAAAGATTCTCACCACTGGACCAATTGGCAGCATCAGGATGGATGGTGAAGAGATTGAGATTGCACACAGCTTTAGTTTGCTTGGCTCTGTAGTCAACAGTCTTGGCACCAGCAGCCAGGAAATTAAAAGGCGCATTGCCATGGGAAAGTCTGCTGTTAGGGACCTCTCCAAAGTACTGAAGAGCAATGGTGTCTCTTTGGAGACTAATGGTCTTCCCAATCACTTGTTATGCATCAGAAATTTGGACTATGACCAAGGAGGATAGAAGGAGAATTGATGCCTTTGAGCTGTGGTGCTGGAGAAGAGTATTGAGAATACCATGGACTGCTAAGAAAACAAACAGATTTGTCCTGGAAGGGGTTAAACCGGGTGGCTCCTTGGAGGCAAGGATTCTGAGGCTCTGTCTAACATACTTTGGACATGTTGTGAGGAGAGACCGGTCCTTGGAGAGGGACATCATGCTTGGGAGGGTGGAGGGACAGCGCAGGAGAGGAAGGCCCTCTATGAGATGGATTGATTCAGTGACTGGGATAATTGGGATGGGAGTGTCAGAGACGGTGTGATTGGCACAGGACAGAGTGGAGTTTAGGGCTGTTGTACATAGGGTCGCTATGAGTCGCAAGCTACTCGACGGCACATAACAACAACAAAACAAGAACAACAACAACAACAACAATAAACTACTGCGGTATGTGGAACAACAGTGAACTGTCTCCTCTTATGAGATACAGCCTCCGAAAACTGGCTGGGAGGTTAGCTTTGAGGCGCTTCTGATTTGAAAACAATGAGTGTGAGATACACACACATAATACAAACCATTGAGCATTGTAGCATTTTTCACACGTACAGTCACTGACTTCATTTACTCACCATGTTGTACAACCATCACCGTGATTCATCTCTGAAATTCTAACAGTCATATGGAGAACTCAAAACCAGAAACAGAACCCACTGGACTTGAGTTGGTTCCCACTCAGGATCCTCCACTGGGTTTCAAGACTGTAAACTGTGGGGATAGAGTCTGTCTGTCTTCATCCCTCAAAGCAGCTGGTGGCTTCCAGCAGCCAGACTGTGGTTAGCAACCCCGTATGCTCCTTAATAGAAGCTCATTGCACCCTAAATCATAACCCCACCCCAGTTCCTCACCTTGGTAATCATTACTACACTTCGATCTCCAGGTGTTCTGTGCCATCTGTGCCATCTGAGTGGGCTCCTACAGTGCCCGTCCTTTCAGGCCTGTTTTGCTCCGCGTGGTGTTTTCAAGGTTTGTTCTTGTCAGGGAGCGGAGCAGGGTGGGAGCTGTCTTCGTGGTTGAATGATATTTCATTGTATGGCTACACCTTGTTTTGTTCCATCCATCTGTTGATGAATATCTAGTTTGTTCCCAGCTTTTGACTGTTCTGAATAGCACTGCCGTGAACTTGGTGTTCGCATGCATTCATTGTCAGCTTCACTGGGCAGATTTTATTGTTTGCTGTGGACGAGGCTGGAGACTAGATGCTGAGGAAAAAGAGGCTCAGATGAGAATACTGTTCACAAGATGAAGGGAGTACGTATGTGTGAGAGAGACAGAGAGAGAGAGAGAGAGACAGAGAGACAGAGAGAGGCAGAGAAGTGATTTAACTCATCAAATAGGTCTAAGGGTGTTACAGGGGCTGGTGGGGCAAAAGAAGAATTGAGTAGATCTTCCAGCAGGCAGTAGTACCTACCTGGGTGTTGCAGGTGGTTAACGTGCTCACTTGTTAACCAAAACTTTAGAGGTTCACGTCTACCCACAAACACTAGGGGAGAAGCCCTGGGATCTACTCCTGTGAAATCAGCCCTTAACAACAGTGTGGAGGGCATTTCTGCTGCCTGATAACATGGGAGTCTTCATGAGTTGGAATTGGCTGCACAACACCTGGAGTGAATCCGGTATACAGTGGAGGAGAGGATCATGGGTCCTGGGAGAGGTGACCCTTGAATAGGCAGGAGGTGGCCTTTGAATTGATGCCTGAGAGGTGTGTAGGTTCTCACCGCCTGGACGCTGCATTCCAAGAGAAACGCATGACCGAGGCAAGAGTTAAAGAACCTTTCTGTGCTCTTGTGCTGGATTTCAGTGGTTCTAAGAGATGTGTGTTTCTGTGTCTGAACTTCTCCATAATCTGGACTCCATGCACTTGTTTAATCAGCAGCGTGTGCTCTTCCCAGTACAGAAAATAGAGAACACCGTGCGGTCGATGGCATCATGGGCTTGGTTGGCTCCTCAGGTAGCATGCTTCAGTATGACCATGCTTTAGAGGTTCATATTAATATCAGAAGGAAACAAGTGAAATGACCGAGTTCCTTAAACAACTACCTGATGCTCCTTAAATGATTACCTGACATTAAATTTGACAGAATACTTAGCAGTGGCTATTATTTTCAATAACAATGACTTCTGGAGATGAAACGGGAGAGAGTGCCGGTGTCTTATGTATTGGAGTCCTGGTGATGCAGTGATTAAGCACCTACCTGTTATAATCAAGAAGTTAGAGTTGGAGTTGATGGTGGAAAATGTCCCAAAAAAAAGCCAAACCTCCCTGTGTCCACACTTAGGTCAACAGATGCCCAGTAAACACAGCCAGGTGGGACCAATGTCTGCTCTGTTGTTAAACCTTCTTGTGACCTTGGACAAGTCAGTTGCCACTTTGATTTTGGTTTCTAGGACTGGAGGTAGAGGCTGAACTTGATCAGGGTCCCTGCTGTGTGACCGCTAGCTAGTGTTTGGAGTTGTGATTTCACTGGTGTGAGGCTGATGATGACATTTATGCCTTGTTTATCCTTGGGTTCTGTAGGCACCTGTGTTAAAAAAGTTGGCAAGAAGTCAAGTTTTGATTCTTGATTTAGTTTTTGAGAAATAAAAAACAGAACAGAAAATGTACTCTCTGGGACTAAGGACATTCGTAGTAATGTTGTTCTATCTACTTTGATCCCACGTATTTCAGTGAGATAGATGGGGAATTTAGTGAAGAAATTTCACAGCCTAACTTGTTACCACTCGAGTGTATAGTTATTTTCACTGATTACAAATGGCCTCAAAGTTGAGAAGTTATAGAGACCTGACCAGGTAGTTTACAAAAGGAAATGTTTGAAAAAGGACATCCCTATAGAAAAAAATGTACAGTGATAAGACCATAATTATGGTTTTTATAAATGGGTCATAACTGTGTTTCTCTCCCAGTCTTCCTTTTTACTTTTCTAGGATGACACGGATGCTTGTGGGTTTCTTTCTTTCAAAAAAATCCCCTTTTGAGTATGTCCCAGATTTTACTACATTAGAAAATTGTTACTCATGAAAATGAAAAATCTCTGTTAATTTAATTACTGTCCTGCTTTTTCGAATGAGTGTTTTGTTTAGAGCCTTCTCTCATTTTTTAAAGAAGAATTGCATTTGTGTTTATTGTATTGGAAATACACATGCATTCCTGTATTGGTGTGAAGAGGCAAAATCAGGGCTGGAGAGACACAGCCAGACTAGATCCTTCTAGAGAGATTATTATTATATTTTTTTTAAACCACTTTGGCAATGAAATAAACCAACTACACAGGTGTGTGGTGTTTTTGTTTTTTTTTCAGTAATGGAAGCTCTCCTTGCTGGGTGACTAGCTATTCTAGGAAAAATTTGAGTTGGTATAAGAAGTTCCCTCTACTTCTTACTGTAATCATATAGATAAGATTAGAAACTATGATTTTTATGATGCCTGGGTTCTTCCACAGAGATGTAGGAAATAGAGGCACTACCTGGCACGAGTGGTGAGGACGCGAGGGTTTCTGGTGTCACATTATGGCCTTTTCATTGGCAGTAGAAACTCTGGGGTGTCAGCAGGACCAGGGGTGATGTTGCAAGGACTGCCTCTGAGATGGGTCTGGATGCAGGTGTGGACATGTGTGTGTTGACTGATTTCTGATGGAAGGGTCATGGACGCTAACCTGATTCATTTGTTTTTAGGGGCTCTTGGCTTTGGGTCCCAGTGCAAGTCCATTGGAAAAAGCAGCTGCAGCAACCTAGTGGTCACCAGCAGCCCCATCATGGTCCAGCGACTGGGACCCATTTCACCTCCAGCGAGCCAGGCCTCTCCAGTGTGCAGCCCGCTCAGTGCTAGCTTACAGAGGGCAGTGACTGCCGCCAGCCTGAATTTACCTCCTTCAGATACCAGGTCTCAGTTATGTTTTTCTTTTCTTCTTTATGGTATAATCCCCTCACCCCATAAGTGACTGTTTTATTTTCCTATATATTAACACTACACTACACCACACACACACACACACACACACACACACCCTCTTTTAATCAAAGTTTTTAGGAAGCTATGTTTGAAAACCAGCTCTGTGCTTTGCAGCCGTCTTCATTTGGAAGTTTGACCTCCTGACTGTTGCCCTGTGGTGTGAGTCTGTGAGTGTTCAGTTGACACTTAGTTGCACTGTGGTCCAGGAGATACAGATACTCGGAGTGTGTCTCTTAGACCCCCTAGGCTCCTAGTGTATAATTTGTAGAATGTCCAGGCTGCTTCTTAGTCAGTACTTACTGACTGCTTCACTGGGGTCTCTGAGTGGTACAGATAGTTAACATGTTGGCCTCTAACCACAGGTGGGAGGCTTGAGTCTTCCCATAGGCACCTCAGAAGAATGACCTGGTGACCTGCTGGAAAAATCAGCCATCGAGCACCTCCCAGAGCGCGGTTCTCTGACAGACTTGCAGTCACTCTCAGTTGAGGTTGACATATCAGTGACTGGTTTCAGTTACTGTCTACATTGGTCAGGAGGTTGGGGACACACTACTCCAGGAAAGTCTGCAGTCAGGGACTTCTCCAGATTTCTGAGGAGCAAAGATGTCACTTTGAGGACTGTGGTGTAACTAATTCAGTCATGGTCTTTTTACTTGGTTGCAGTGCATCTGAGAGCTAGACAGTGAATAGAGATGATAAAAAATAGTTGATACTTTTGAGCTGTAGGTGGTGGAGAAGAAAGAGTACCGAACATCCCATGGACTGTGAAAAGAACAAACAGATATGGCTTGGAGAAAGTGCAGCCACCGTGCTGCTTGGATGCAAAGATGGTGAAAGTTCATCTCGCATATTTTGAGCATGTTGCCAGGAGAGTCTGTTCCTTAGAGAGGGACATTATGTTTGGAGAGGTGGAGGGTTGGCAAAAAAAAAGAAAGGAAGACCCTCACTAGATAGATTGCTGAAGTGATTGCCACAATGGGCTCAAAGATGTCAGACGTGTGAAAGTGCACAGGATATGACCAGGTTCAGATCTGTTGTTCATTGAATCGCCTTGACTCACAGTCCACTCAGCAGCCCTGAACAGCGACATCCCCACATCATCCAGTAGTTGAAGATCAGGAGACAGAAGACCATGTAGGGTAATCACTACTCTCGAGACTTCACAGTGCCTCTGGGAAGACGCTTTCAGGTCTGTGTTGCATAACAGTTCCTGACACAGCCTGACCGGGCACTAGGACAGGTGGGGATGAGACTGTTCCTGTTGTGGACTATCCAGCTGGCTCTGACTCTTGGTGGCCTTGTATGTCAGGGCAGAACCTCCACGTAGGGCTTGGTCATTTGTCATCTTTACAGAAGCACGCCACCAAATACTTCCTTCTTGGAGCCGCCGGTAGGTTTAAACCACAAATGCATGGTCGTCACCACCAGGTAGGTGGATGCCATGCTGCTGGGCATCTGTCTTTCTGGGAGGAGTTTGAATGGAATAGAGAAGTCACCCCCTCAGACCAATTTTCCTCTCAGGGTTGGTGTTAGAGGTGTCATGAAGCCAAAATACTGCCAGGTTATGTGATGCCTACTTTCATATTTGAAATGCATTACTTCATTTTCCAGATTTTGCCAGAAACACAAGCTAGAGATTTTTCTTTGGTTCTCTGGTTTCTGGAGCCCTGGTAGTACAGTGGTTAAGCACTCAGTCACTCACTGAAAGGTTGTTGGTTTGAACCCACCAGCGGGTCTGTACGAACAGGACTTGACTGTTGACCTCTGTAAGTCACATGACACCCTGTGGGCAGTTGTCCTCTGTCCTGTGGGGTCTTGTGAGTCACGACCACCTTGACACGCTGCTTCTGGGTCTTTGATCTTCAGCGGGAACGTGACCTGTGAGAACATCTGCCCCAATTCATTTGGAACTGGAGTAGCACTGAGGGCTTGCATTTCTGGAATCTCATTTCTAGACTCTTCTTTCTTGTTCTCTTCCTGCTTCTCCATTTCTTATCTTTCTGCGCTGTCCTGACTGTCCTGCCAGCTGCTAGATGAGACTGAGAAACTGTAGCTCTGGGGTTTTTTTTAATACCAGGTGGAAACTTGTTTTCTACCGAGACTTTATGATGGGAAGCAGCTGTCATTTTCCCATTGATGATTATGCCCGGAGGGACTCGTCCTGCAGTGTGGCATGTGAATGAGCTTTGCTGTGGGATAGGCGCCTCTGGGAAGCCTGGCTTCCTGTCTGTGGCAAGTCCAGCCCATGCCTTCAAGGCAGAGGCATAATTAATAGAGAAGCCGGCAGAGACCTGGCACACTCAGCCCAGCTCCCTCCCTCTCCCTGACGTGGTCCCTTTCATGGACTTGTCCAGGGAAGGGTCATTATCTCTGGATTTCCTGGCAGATTCGATTCCTTTGCATAATTTCATATTCTTAAAAGACAACAGCTTCAGGACGCGTTGACAGGCATTGTGACTGTGCCCTCCTCCAGTCTTTCTGTGGAGTAGTTCACTTGGGTTTGTTTTTTTCCTTCTCTCCAAGATGAGTGAAGAAATAGGAGTTGGGAAATGGCTTGGGGAAGTCTGGAACTTTCTTTGGGCCATTTGGATAGGTGGTCGTTTCCTGTGGCCTTGAAATTTGTCTATATGTTCCCCAAAAGAGACAGGATAAGAGGCTCAATTTGGAGGCTCACTGCCAGCCCGAGAGAAGGGGAGAAAGAGTGTCTACTGAGGGCAGGGAGTGGGCATTGGGGCGGGAGAGGGGCCTCACTCTTTCCTTTGAGGTGGTTGTTCTGTGCAAAGGCTTCTTCTCACGGGGAAATGATTGTCTTCATGCACGAGTCTGTTTTAAAATTATCCTGATTATTTATGTAATTCTTAGTCATTTTGTGAAATATGTTCTTGGGTGGTGTAGATGGGTAAGGATTCTACTTTTAGGTTTAAAAGCTAGAAATTAAAACTTATTCAGAGGCTTCTCAATAGTCTTCATCCGAAAGGTTTCCTAGAGCCATTTAAAAACCCTGTGGATGAGTGCCAGTGGGGTCACCATGAGGCAGGATTGACTTGGCCTCAAAATTGTGGAAAATAAGGAAAGATCCCCCCAAACCCAAACCACTGGTGTCAAGTTCATTCCAGCTCATAGCCCCCCTTTATCAGGGTTCTGAAAGACTGCCCATCTTTTTCCCATGGAGTACCCAGTGGTTTTGAACCACCAGACTTTTCAGTTAACGGCTAGATTTATAGCTCACAGTGTGATGGGGCCTCCTTGCAAGACACCGGCAGTGATTAGAAGCCGTGTTGAATCCTGTCAGCGGGTGACAAAAACTTTGGGTAGATTTTAATCTTCGTCCTTATCCTCATAGATCAAAACATGCTTTTATTTGTACCCAGACATAATTATATGTAGTTTCATAATCTACTTTTTCAGTTCACATTCTGTAAACACTTTCTCAGGTAATAAAATCTTTTTAGGCATCAGATATGGAGCTCTGGTGGCACAGTGTTTAAACAGTGGCTGCTAATCCAAAGATCTGCCGTTCAGACCCACCAGCTGCTCTGTGGGCAAGGTGCCCCCTCCTCTCCAGGGCCCGGACGGGTTGGAGCGGCCTTGACGGTAGTGGGTGCTGGTGTGGGTAGTGCCTCAAATAATGGTTTGTTGCCGCCCAAGATTCTATCTGATCAACAAAGACATACAAATATAACAACATATAATAAAATAATAATAATTAGAAGAATATTCTGTACTACTTATATAAAGAAAACCATTTTAAATCAGTCTCTCGTCATTGGGCCCTTCAGTGTTTCAATATTATAAATAGTACTTTTCAGCATCAGCTTTATAACTTTGCCAGTTTTTCGTTCATCTCTGGTTTTGCCTTTGTTTGGGAGATTGCCTGTGTTTTCCAAGTTGGCACATCCAGTGTTGGAATTGAACCTGATGCTTCAATGTCATCATCTCAGGACTCAGAGAGTGAGCAAGTTCTGGTATCACCAGTGCCCTAACCTTTGTCATAAAGGAGCTCTGAGGGCCTAGTGGTAAGAAGCTGCGCTGTAGTCCTGAAGGCGCACGGTTTGAATCCACCATCTGCACCATGGGAGAAGGATGGGCATTCTCCTTCCGTGCGAATTACTGCCTCCGAAAACCCACTGGAGGGTCAGGTATCGGTTGGTTCTGACTCAGCTGTAACTCAGCAACAACAACAGCAACCTTTGTCCACAGTTTCTGGTCTTCATATGGGCATCATTTTTTCGTTTATTTCCTTTCCTTCCAGTCACACAGTCCCCGAGTTAAATGCCTACGTAGACAGATCTTGGTCAGCCTTTACCCACCTCAGCTCACAGCATCCCTCCATCGGGTGGGGGCTGTGATACTTACAGGAAGCACTTCCCACCTTCTCCCTTGGAGCTGCTGTTGGATTCCAACCAGCAGTCTGTGGGTTAGCAGCCCAGTGTGCACAGCACTAAGCCAGCAGCGCTTCTTACAACTCAGCTCATTGCCATCGAGTAGGAACCGACTCTTACCTGACACTCCAGACAGTTTCTGAGGCTGTAAATTGCGTGGAAATAAATTACTCCTCTCTCTCCTAGGGAGACACTGGTGGATTTGAACTGAGGGAGGAGTGTGAGCTCGGTCTTCGCAGGGCAACAACCTTTGGACTGGGCCCCAAGAGCTATAGGCAGAGCTCTTTGCTGTTACATAAATTGCCCTCACTGTGAGAGGTTGAACCCGGCCCCTATGCGTAATAGACAGTTCATCGCTCATAGAAAAACCTTCACTTCTTGCATGTGCCATTTATAAACCACTGAAAAGTCTTCCTGCCTTTACCGGCTCGAGCCCCGAATGCTGAGGAGCTGGTTTGGGCTCACAGCGGCCCTGCAGGACAGAGTAGACCTGCCCCCCAGGGTTTCCGAGGCTGTAAATCATTAATGGAGCTGCCAGCCTCACGTTCC